GTTCAAGTTTGAACTCATTGTAACAGAATGGTTCTTCTTTTACAGCATTTTGAAATGAAACATTAATTATAATCACCCTGCATGTAATTCATCATTTACTATTATAATTATTATTATTATTATTTTTTTTTTTTTGCAAACAACTAAATGAATACGAATTTTTTTTTTTTTAAACTTAACAGTAAAAAATCAGCTAAAATTACGATTTTTTTTTTTTTTTTTGCTATAATAAAATAAAAGAATATTATATTTTTAAATAAAACATGAGAAAATTGATATGTTATTATTGTTATTATTATTTTTCATTTTAAGTAATTTTCAAAATTATTTAAAAAAATTTTTAATTAAAAAATAATACATTTTTATTAATAAATTAAAAATATTTTAGGATAAAAAATAAGCGATTTCTTGTTGTTCTAATATATTCTAATTTAGCTTAATTGAGTTGTTTTGCAATTTTTCTCTTCCCTATTTACCATTCAATAAGTCATAAAATTACAATTAATTCATCAGGTTCATCAATAAATGTTAATTTTTTATATACGTCAAGCACTTTTTAAATATTTTTGTCAATTTTTCAAAAATGGGACCTGAGTTTTTTTTAGATTTCAATGCATATAAAATGCAAATAATTTAATTAAATCTTTTTATTTTGATTATTCTAACTACATAAGAAATTAAAAAATTTTATAACTATCAAAACATTTTAATCATGATATAGTTTATCGATTTCTTGATTTCCTGTCTTTTTCAAAACCTAAAAAAAGCAAAATCTTGTGTATGACATAGCAAATCGTCACGACCAGTTTCATTTTGAGCACGTATGTTTATTATATTGTCAAACGAAGTTATTATGAAAATTGTAAACGTAATTTAGAAAATAATTTTATTTGAAAATTTCATCATCTTAAATGTCATCAACTGTTTATTACATTTTTGAAATCGTTCCTAATTCAACCATTTATTTCGTACTTCTAGGCTCATGTTTATGCAATAATTCAAGAACTACTATCAACACCTTTACATATTTGTCACCTTCACTTTTATACTTGTAACTGTCCCAATGTACTACCAGAAATGTGGCAATAAATTATATTTTTAGTAGCCCATGCCGTGTTTTATGTTAAATTCCATTCCGATTTCACGCCAATTCAGCCACATGTTCTATAATTATACCTACTCTTTATTTCTTTGCAACTTGCTTCTCATTCATGTTATTATCTGGAAATAAAAGTATGTACTGCCATGTTGCTGCAACTCCACATCCTTTCCCTCATTGGTTAACATGTTATGGAAGTCCTTGTGTTAATCATTGGATTGCGTTCTCCATTAGTTAATCTGTTAGAGATTTTCATTGAGATAATATCAACATTGGAAGGCATTTTCTAATCTCAACACTGGAATGTATACTGCAATCATGAATGTTTTCAACTTTAATTCGGCTCTCAATGTATCACTTGAGTAAAGGGTTTCTACTTGCATGTCACGTCTTCCAGATGTATCTGCTGCTCTTGAGGTAATTATTCTGATTTTTTTCATGTCGCATTTCAGTAGTGTGACTCGTGACTGTATCTTCAAGCTAGTCCGTGGGGATGTTAAATGAATAATCGCGGTGCAGACCTTACTTATGACTAAAGATTAACTGTCTCTGTATCTTCAAAATGAGATGAATGTTATGTTGAAAGGATGATTCAAACGCTTTGCTGGCTTTGTTTCAATTTGATTATTTTCCTTCCAATAAATGTTTATTTTTGGAAAACATTTTTAAAAAACTTAAAAGATAAACAGAGTACTGTTGCTATATGCAATTCTCAAAACTAAAGATCGTTATTTTTCAGTACATAGATAATATTAATGTAGATATGTATAATAAATATATGACATATTTTTTTTTATTAAAAAAGATACTTTATCTGTAAGTTCGATTTTAAAACAACGTTTTTAGTAAATGATAACCATTGACCAATCGAACAGTTAAAAATTTAAAGAAAAATAGGTAGCATTTGGTCAATGTTAATATCGTTGAAGGGCATGATGTTATAGTGGTTTACTGCTTATCAAATAAAACTAAATAAAATATTTTCGTAATTGCGATGTCTAAGTAAAATTTGTGAAAAACAGCAGTTAAACTTTCGGTTACAGTGAAATGTTTCAAATAGCAACAACTTGAATTATCTTTCCTAAATAGTGTTGAAATGATACCTGTAGGCCAACAACATAAATGATACCTATAAGAAAATTTTGGATATAGCTTTAAATTTTTATGAAATGCAAAAAATACTGTTTTAAAAAACCACTACCTCAATATATGAGTTCCTAGCTTAATACCATTCAAAGAAACTACTGTTGAAGCATTCGCTGGAGTATCGCAAGAAAGATAACTCAAAAACATTTAAAGACACGATTTCGTTACTTTTTTACCGGAAGAAAAAAAACCCATAAACACCGTTGGAACCGTACCTGCATATCGCTGACGCTAGATGACAGACTACTACTACTACTACTACACCATACCACATCATTGTGCCTAAAGCTGAGTTGCCCCTTTATTACTTTTAAAGACAGTGAATGAGCAGAAAGCAAAATGTTTTGATTCATTCACAAATTTTCCACATGACCTCCCTACACACACGATGAACTTTAATGCGGCAGATGATGAAGAGCACTAAAAAGGACCTATTGTGACAAGAGGAATCTGTTGAACATGACGTTGATGGCATCTTTCAAATTCCGATGCAGTTTTTGGATTTTCATATACTTTACATTTCAAAAATCCCTAAACCAGAAATCAATTTTTTGTTAAACTTGAAATGGCTGGATAAAATTCTGTCACCACACTTTTAGGTTAATAAATGTTTCAAAGCAGACGTCAAAATGGGGGAACGTCCTCTAGCATCCACACTACAATAAATAGAACATACTTGAAATTTCATGTGAATTTTATGCTCAAACTGCATCTGATTTGATGCCATCAAACGGACGATTCATCAGAAATGGTTCGTGCTTCAGTGCCATACAGCATTGCCGCATGCAAAGTGTCGTCGTGTGTGAAAAGGTCATGGTTTGTTTTGCTTTTGCTGCTTCAATGTCTTTATCGGCTGTTTTTCACTTTTCCTCATTTGGTCAACAATCTTCGAAGTATGTTTGGTACGTGCTACAGGCATCGTTCCAAAGCTGTTGATGGTTTCTCACTGTGGAGATCGCATTACAATAAAAAAAGTAGGTGTTGCTTTTGAAATTTTTAAAATCAGAACACTGTAACCGAAACGTTTAGAGTTTGCATGTGGTTTTTTTCATATGATTCTTGAGCGCTTGCCGAATCATACGTGATAGTTAGTTACTCATGTATCGAGGAAGTTGTTTTATAATGGTCATGTACATAGATAATATTCTATACTTAAGTTGACAATTTTTAAACTTGAAAAGGGAATTTTAAAATATTTTATACATATAAACTTGATAAATAAATCTTATTCTTTGTTTAATTAAAAACAAGTAATATATAAAAGAAAAATTTTAAGTCAATTCCTACTTTTTTTCACTCTATTGCAGAAAGTCCTTTATAAATCATTTTCATTCATTTTTTTAAGTTTATCTGGTGCCATCTATTGGTATATATATGCAAATTAAATCTAAAAAAACTAATATTGATTCATTAAATTTAATTAATGAATTAATATTTGAAAAACTGTATTAACATCAAGTGTCATCCATTACAAGTTAACAAAAAATGTATTTGAACTTGAGTGGATGAATAAAAAGTATTTTATGAACGATTGAAAATTTTAACAAGATATATATAGGGAGAGTGTGAGCTAATAGAAGGAATGGAAATAAGTAAGAAAAAACGTTTTATTCTGCGTGGAAAAAAGTTCTAATTTCACGTCTGCTAAAGCATTCATCACAAGATGTTTTTTTATCTTGAAAAATAATTAAACAAATGCGCTTTTCTGATATTCATTTTCTGTTTCGGAGTAATATTTCAAATATGCATGATCATCTTAAGAATTCATGAGTATGGGACAGTAGTTGTTATATTGTATTAAAATTTCTAGACGTTTCCTAAAATAAATGAAATAGAAAAAAATATTCAATCTTCTTTGTTTTACTAAATATTATATTTGACAAATTTATTCAGGAATCATTATACTCAAAAACATGCATTAAGCTTTCATCAGAATATTCTAATATTGCATCTTATGTTGGTTTTCCCGTATATTCCATACTAATGATTACAATAAAATGAAATGTAAACAAGGAAATAATTAGGAAAATGTTATTGATTAACAAAGCTGACATGGTAGATTTTGTAGCAATTTTTTCCAGTTTATTACATAAAAGTTCGCTAAATTAAATTTTCAAAATGGAATAGGTTTTATTTGGTAGGTTAGTCGCTCTATAGCAAATGGAAGAGAAAATTAAAGCTTTTCAAAGGAAATTGGTCGCGTTTGCGTATCGCATTGACATCCCAGAAAATTTTTGACGTAATGGAGTCCTATATAACTTGTCGCATATGTAATAATATGCATGTTAAATCTACTTGTTTTTCAAAGCAATGTCCGCAATGCATGATGTCAAGTGAATCCAATACCAGACTTATTGTACTTACTACACTAGAGCAAGAATATGATATAAATGCAATAGATTATACAAATTTAATTAATAACAATAAACGAAAACGAAAATAAAAAAATAAATAAAAACCATGTTGTTTGTTGTTTCTTATCCCACTTGGCTGGCCAAGCCCACGAGCCCATACGCACTCATGATTGAAGGGGAAGGAAGCAGCTTATGTTGTGATGGAGCACCCGTAGGTAGAAGTCTAACTTTGGCTCCGTGACGCTCTTACAGTCTTAGGAGATCGGGACCTACAGCTTAAAGTGGATTCCGAACCACTACAAACATCCATGACACCACCGGGATTCGAACCCGAAACCTGTGGCATCGAGTGCCAGAGCGCTAGACACTCGGCCATTCAGGTTCCAAATTTGTGAATGCCAACGGCAAGCGGTGTTCCCAGGTGGTCACCCACCCAAGTACTGACCGTGCCCAATGTTGCTTGACTTCGAGAACCGGTATATTCACCATGGTGTGGCCGTTGGAAATAAAAAAATAAAAACAATAAGTGATATAAAGAAAAAAATAACAACATTATTGCCAATATATACAACTTAATCAAAGAAAACATTTTTTAACATTATGAAATTAATATAATTAATGAAATTCTTTTATTTATTTATTCACCTTGAAATGTTTATTCTAACGCTGCTGTTAATTTCGAATACCGAGCGTAAGTCATTCGCCATTAGAATAGTACAGGTGTATCCAGATTTAGCGTTACATATAGTTATAATTCATATAGTTAATCTTTTAATACTAAACATGATTTTATTGTAAAATAACGTTATCCATTAGGAATTGCAATATAATAAAAGAATAATAAAAAATGTTAAATGAAATTTAAAACTGCATACATTTAATTATTTGAATATGCATAGTATTATCTTTTTTTTGCTTGCAATTGTCCCAGGGTTAAAAAAACAAAACATCCTGTAAAAATATCGCTGTCTACTTTCTGTCTTACATTTTTTTTAATTAAAATAAATTTTTACAAACATATGAAATTTAAAACTGCATAACATTTAATTATTTAAATATGAATAGTATTACTTCTTTTTTTTTTTGCTTCCAATTGTCACAGGCTTAAAAACAATACCTCCTGTAAAAATATCACTATCTGTTTTCTGTTTCCATTTCTTTAATTTAAACAAATTTTGCAAGCATATGAAATTTAAAACTGTATAACATTTAATTATTTGAATATGAATAGAATTACTTCTTTTCAATTCCTACTATTAGTTCACACTCTCTCTATAATATTTATATATCTTATTCAAATACTTTTAAAATACTTTTTTATTGATCCATTCAAGTTCAAATACATTTTTTAACTTGTAGTGGATGACACTTAATGTTAATATAGTTTTTTTTTCAAATATTAATTCATTAATTAAATTTAATTAATTAATTTTAGTTTTATATGGGAGAACAAAATTTCTCTTATATTTAGCAGGATATAAAT